CCCCCCCCCCCCCCCCCCCCCCCCCCCCCCCCCCCCCCCCCCCCCCCCCCCCCCCCCCCCCCCCCCGCGGATCCTGGTGGATCCTAGGATGCATCACGATACACAGGGTCCATTAGGACTCGATAAAATCCCATCGTATATATTCCCTGTAAAATTTCAAATGATTTTCTAAATGAACTATGTCTTATCGTAAATCATCTACAAATATAAGTCTACTATTATTAAGTTCATTTTATTCAAGTATATATATAATTAACGAAAAAAAATGAAATAGAAATTGAAGCTAATTATTTCTGTTTATTTGTTAGTTGTACCCGTGTTAATCTGTCAGACGATAAACAATTTTTACTATTAGTTAAAAGGCGTGCTGCCGTTTGTTTACGTAAATACTTTGGTTTATTATTAATCGTAATATGAAAATAATTATTCTTTTTCGTTGGATCAATCTTGTCAAATATTTTCATCCTTTGGAAGGTTTCTTTTGATGTTATAAAATGATAATCATCTGGATTGTCGTCATCTAAATAATAACCTTCAATTTGAACATCTGTTTCAGTATCATTTTGAATATATATTAGTATCATCTGCACTATTTTGAAGATCAATTTCGTTGAAGTAACAATAATCAACTTTAGATTTTTAATCAAGTTGGTCGAAAACAAATGAATTTAATTTTTGAATATCACCGAGATCATTTTCTTCTAGAATTTGTAATAAGTGTAAGGAATTTATGATTTTTTCTGCTTCATGATAAGCTTTAATGATAATTTTTTCTATATCATTTATTGTTGCTGGTGCTGAACTTAAACTAATTGTAGATGATATTTTCTCCTTGTGTTTGTTCTTATGATGAATTGGAAATTTTAATGGACATTCAACATCATCTCCTTCTGTTGATTTAAAATGATTTAGTATTGAAATTTTTTCGATTTTATTTAGAAATTGAGATACTGAGAACTTTTTTATTGAAGAGAAAGTACCAGATAGAGCACGAGCACTACGAAATGTACTCTCGCATGGTTGACTACTAAATAGATGAGTATCAAGAGAAGAAGATGGTAAAACTCCTTGTAATATCAATATTATTAATGATGTTAAACAATGAATATTAATTTATACAGATAACCATGCAGCTCTAGTAATAAAATGATTATCTTTTTCTTGTCGAGAGTAAGTTTCTTCTAGTTGAATACTACACTTAGAGATCAATAGTAAAATAACTTTAAAAAATAGAAAAACTCTTTTTTATTTACCACCACATCCGATATGAAAATGCAAGAATCCGACCGTAGTATAAACGTACGAAGATATCGGTATCTACTTTAATATATGTAATGATAACTAATTTCAACAACTATAGGTAGATATAAATGCCTTTAGCATTCATGTCTTGCAATAAATTCAATATATCATCCGACGTGATTTTTACGCAAGATGAGAAATTTTGTCGATCATGGGAGAAAACATCAGATTTCACTAAGTTATGATCAATTTTAGAATAGTTGTCATTTATAAAAGACAAATCATTAATATTAATCTGATGATTCTTGATAGATGATGTTGCAATACTTGATATAAGTCGATTTCTGAGTTTTGTTGCAAGATGGATTCCATCTTGCATGCAAAGATAAATTTGCTTTGTTCTCATGAAAAAGAAATTCCAAGTTGTAGGAATATTAATTTGAAGTAAATGTTTATTTTTATTTATTAAATCAATGTTTGATGTGTGTGTGTGTGTGTGTGTGTGTGTGTGTGTGTGTGTATACAATCCTAAAGATATTTGCATTGCTTTCAAATATCTTGCTTCGCGATCGCTTGAGAAACCAACAACAACAATATTTTTTTTCTGCATTCATTCTATATATAATTCCATTTACGAAGGACATCAATACCTATATTTACGTAAATATCAATCCATTTACGAGAAAAATTTCAAACTTGAATATTTGTTATCAGATCCATAGAAAGCAATATATACACTCTAAAAAAAATATGTTTTCAACCGAACCTTTTTCCAGGGTTCGGTGGAAAACATATTTTTTTTAGAGTGTACGGTCTCGAATGAATTAACGAAGAGCTTTTATTCAATAATGGTTCAATTAAATTTGCATTTATTGATTTAGATTTCTCTAATTCTTGAAACCATTCTTGTAATTCATTAAAACTATTTGTTTGAAATTCATTGATCAAAGGTAAGTCGTTTACTAATTTTGGTGCAAAACCAATGAAACAATTTTTTTTTACTGTCATAAGAGATTGAACTAACAACACTGGCTGAATCCTCACATTAGAAAAGTAAAATCGTAATTAAATCTTGTAATTTTTACTAGTCGGATAGATAAATTTTAGTTGAATCTGATCTGTTATAGCGAATATTGATTAATGTTAAAATTAAAGAAAAAATAAATAAACCGATATTTACTGGAATTTACTGAAGTTCGACGAAATTGGCTGAATTCTCTTTTGTTTTAAAACCTAATCCATGAGAAATTTTCTTCTCTTAATAACATTCCCATATACTAACAACTTCTGATAAGTTCATAATGATTTAAACAAAACTAATCACATCGTCTTTCTCTCAAATGATATATTATCCCAAAGTACGTACCGCAAAAACATGATTTGAATCAATCAAATCTAAATTCCCCTTCATTTAAATATAAATTGATATTTTGATTATAATTCTTTAATGGAGTGATAGATGACAAAGAACCTGGTAAGTTTATTCTAACAAACTCATAAGCTTGATGACCAGCTAATATATTAAACGCTGATGCAAATTTGTTCACGATAGGATCAAATTGATAATTGTTACTGGATCGATTAACATTTAGAAAACCACATACAGCTATTCTCTCCTTGAGCATGATTAGGTTCTGTTATTGGTTTGTAGTGATTTTTTAATAACTCAATAAATTGTTCAATATTAGATCGAATTCTTGGTCGTACAACATAGCTTGAATCGCCATCAATAAAACAAGCGTGTTCTTTTAGCTTGAGTATATATTTATTATTTAGTTGAAAAAATGAAAATACATCTGGTATTTGTAATAAAATTCGAACGTTCTTTATTCGTTGTATCTCAAGAATATCACCTTCAATAACTCCAACGGTTTTTGACGAAATTATAAAAAACTGCATCACTGTATGTTGGAAGTTCATCAAGAAATGATAATAAATCTTGCTCCCAACTCGACATAACCGTAAGATAAAGAAAAAATATCTGCAAGAGATTTCTTATTTAGAAAATCAATTAATTTTCAATTGAATTGTTGGAGACGAACGAATGTTTCAACAAACTTAATTCCAACTTTATTTGAAAGCTAAATTTTACATAAATATAGAACAACAAAAATAAGTTGATGCACATTAATTATTTAAAATAAGTCTATAAATTCAAGTAAACTTCATAAAGAAAGATATATATGAAGTATATATAAAAAAATTCGAAATTAAATTTAGTTAGAGACTAAGATATTTTTTTCTTTTTGCACTGTCTAATAATGATGATGTTGGTCTTTTTTCCTTTGAAGAATCAGAATAAGTTGATATTGGCTTATTGGTGGTAATTTGTGAATTTTCATTTAAATTATTCATGCTGTCTTCATTAAAATTAATTTCATTGTTAAGGCTAGGTAGGATATTATTTTGATTAATATTGTGTGATAAATTACTGTTTTTCTTCAATTCTTGTCTTTTCTTTTTCATCATAGAACAAAGACTATGCTTCAAATATTTAAAATAATGTGACAGTTGAAATGATTTAGTATTTAAATGAAATGGAAGTTTTATTGCTGATTTACAACGACATTTAATGTATCCATCAATAAATGTACCGGATTGATTTAAATGTATCATGTAGGTGACCGTTCAATTCGTCGCAAGACAATTCGTCGCACGACAATTCGTTGCGATCAGTTCGCCGCATATATATGAGAGGATACATTAATTGAATTAAGATATGTAGTTTAGTATGTTATTTAATTAATCATGTAAATCGTACACGCTGCTATTTGACTGTTAGATATACATGAGGGTAGGTTCCCGTTTCGTCGAAAAATTAAATTGAAATGAAAAGAGCATAATCAAAGCGATAAGCGTAATGTTTATGATTGACTTAAACTATTTTCTTAAAAAGAAACTAATTGATATCCCTATACTATTAATCTGAAATTTTATAAAAGCCTATGTAAATATCGAGTAAATGGAACAAATCGTTTCTTTGCTATATTCATTATTACACAAAAAGATGCTATCTATTGTTGAAAGTAAGCGTAATAAACCAACTTTATTACTTGATGCTTTTCGCTACACACAAGATAAAATTTTTAACACAACTATTTATTGGAAATGTGAAAATCGTTTATGTCCTGGACGTGCTATACAATATGGTTCAAATCCACCAAGCATGAAAAAACCACATAATCATGATGCTAATGAAATGACATGAAACGCAAAGTAAAAGAATTTAAAATGAATTTAAAGCGACATATTGAAGATTCACCACAACCAGTGAAAAAAATCTATAGAGAAAAATTAATATCATTATATACAACGGCACCACAACTTGCACCATTTACACCGATGTTTCATGAAATTAAAAATTCATTATATAAAGCAAGAAATACAAGTTATCCACCTGCTCCACGTACAATTGATGATGTTAATGTCGAAGGTGTATGGAGTAAAACTTTAAATGGCGAACAATTCGTTTTTAATAATTCAAAACATCCCATATTCGAAACATTAAAATCTCTTAAACAATTATCAACAAGTGATCATGATCACTTATTTTTTGACGGGACGTTTAAATCATGTCCAAATCCATTTTATCAATTATATTCAGTTCATTCGGTCAATGGTGAATTATCAACACCAAAATTATATATTTTATTATCTGATAAAAAAAGGTCCAACATACATTTCCATGTTTAATAATATATTAAATTTATGCCATGTTAATAATATTTGTTTAAATCCTAATTTTATTAAAATTGACTTTGAGCAAGCTGCTATCAATGCAATTAAATTAATTTTTCCAAATGCTATTATTAAAGGATGTAACTTTCATTTTAACAAATGTATTTACCAGAGACGTGCACAGGACGAGATTTTTCGCCCTGCCCTGTCCTGTCCTGGTAAGTTTCTTGTCCTGGCGGGCGGCAGTACAGGACCAAAATAAAAATTGCGTCCTGCCCTGCAGGACAGGACAGAGCACCAGGACGACAGGATATCCTGTCCTGTGGTTATCTCCGATTGTGATCGAAAATCTCTGAGTCGTCAATGATAATAGATATTTAGTAGCGTTTTTCTTCAAGGAATACTTGAATTAATATTGTGACCCATTCGCATAGAAACAACGGTCGCTCACAATACAGCTCGAGTAACAGAAATTAGCATGCGAAAAATGCAGCTTCTTTAGAAAACCAATATGAATAACAATAGAACAAGAGGGTAGCATACCGTCGCCAGTTGTTATTTTCGCCAATTGGCGAAACAAAAACTTTATTGTTGAACCTCACACTAGAGATTCTCCAATTTGAATCAATTGAGTTATAACTAGAGCTGCCGTTAGGCCAACCTGTCAGGCCATTGTAAAATAAGATATTCAAATCTGAATTAATCTGTTTGCATGATAATGAGTTAGAGTAAGAGACAAGGTCAGATCAGCATTATTGATCCAATTAATCGTTTCTTTATGTGAAGAATCTTTGTATCTATTATCACATTTCTCTAAAAACCCATGTTAACAAATATATTTCTCACACAAAGAAAGGATGGACTGGGTCAATAATGCTACTTTGAGTTAGTCTCATACTCTACTTCACTATAAATTATAGAGAACAATTCAGATTTGAATTTCATATTTTCCGGTGGTCTGGGACGCCGATCCGGTGGCAGCTCTGGTTGTAACTCAACCACAGTACTTAATATTGTGAACAGTCAAAGTGCATTGGCTCAAATGTATATAAGTACAACAATAAAAAAACATAATGCTTCAATATTCTATCATTAATTTAGTTGATTCATAATCGTAAGGATTACAATTGGCGAATTTTATCCTAGAAATTCACCAAATTGCCGATCTTCCAGAAGCTTGATTAAGAAAACTGCAGGACAACAGGACAAGCTTTTTCGTCCTGTCCTGACCTGTCCTGTCAGCTATCTTGTCCTGGCGGGCGGCAGGACAGGGCAAACATCAAAATTGCGCCCTGTCCTGTCGGACACGACAGGACAGGACACCAGGACATCAGGACGTACTGTCCTGTGCACGTCTCTGGTCCCATCTATACAAGACCGACGTACTATTCGCCACTTAGTTTTGTCTTTTGTCCTTCGTTTCGAAGCGAAATGAACTAAGGTAGAAAGAAAGTAACAAAGATAATATCTAAGGCATCGATGCTCTATATTCTTTAGCGTAATGGTGTTAAAGAAAATTCAACTGAAAAAATATGAATTTTCACTTCTAACAACATAAATTATTTAGAAAACACTTAAATAAAAAAGTGAAAGCAACCAATAAATCATTTACATATACTTTTCGATAAACTTGTAGCAATGTAGCATTAGTGAATATTTAGGATAATTGCACAATTATCGATATTCAACTTTACTGGAGACTTGAACGTGTCTGTGAGCAAATATCATTAAATATAACATCATATTTAGCTATGTGAGTTATTTAAGAAATATAAAAAATTAGATTTTTATTTACATCTAACGTTGCCATCAAAGTTGACAATACAATTCAATGAAAGCCTCTTATTGGTTGTAGAAAAAGATTGCTGTATTTATTTTGATTTAAATAAGAAAGTGCCATAGAAATATTTTATACATTTATTTACAGATTGAAAATAGACAAAGAACAAGAAAAAAACAATGTTAGAAAAAAACAGAAAATAATATCTATTGCAAAGATAAGGCCGATTCGGTTTTGCGCGTTTTCAGTGTTTGTTCGACTTGACATACACACAAGCACAATAAAACAATTTCACTTTATGTATGTATATACAAAGATAATTTAAACATCATCAAGTCCTGTGAGCAATGCTGGTTCTACATGAGCAAAATCAGAGTCTCTCACTGGTTCCAAAATATTAACAATGCTCTGATGAAGTTTATCTTGTCTCTAATAATGGAATGAAAAATAAAAGGATGAGTTTTATCAATCAATATTCTTATCTTGACATTCCGATCGACTATTAGAGAAAAAAGAATACGCAGATAAATATTAGATATAGGGAAAACATAATCTTATTGAGTATGAAAACAATTGTTCTTTTTAGTCACCCCAGGACGAACAATCCGACAGTCGGATCCTGTCGGAACCCTAAAAATCCGACAACTTCTTGTCGGAATCCAATACCAAGGATTCCAATCCGACGCATTCCCACCGGATCCGATGGGGTGAGTTCGACCTGGGACGACATGTTTCTTTTCGACTATACTCATTATTCATGCAGTCAACTAACACAGTCGTTTTCCGCTTGAAATGAAACGCGGAACTCACATAAATTCTTTATTATCATTAGATACTAATGATATAAAAAGCATAAAGTGAAAAATCACTCACAGACTACTTATTTTTAGGGATGTAACAATACCAATACGGTATTGGGGTATTGGTGCTGGTATTCGTATTTTCACATCCCTACTGAAAATCTTCTCTCGAATAAGAATCAATTCTCAGAAATATCTAAAAACCAAGAAGATGAATCTCTATCATACTATAATGAATATACCCGTATTCTTATTCTCTATAACGAACTTGTTACAAAATATAATCAACTTGAAATCGATTATAAAT